CACCAAACTCTCATCGCAATCGCTTCCGCATGAGGTTTGCGAACGAAGTTGCGGGTGGGTGGGTGGGATGATTGCACGAGCAGCGGTTTCGACAACTGCAAATTCGGCAGGGTGAATTCTTCTCTCTTTTAACAAGGAGATTCGCCCCCACTTTGGGATTATCGGGACCGGGACCCCGCTCGCATTGAAATTTACATATGTTTGTACCCCCTCGGCCATCCGAAATATGAACGTATACCAACCCAGACAAGCCGGTATCGCCCCCCCTTTCATCCTCTGCTTAGAAAATATGCGCGCGCACTCGTTTACCACAAACAAGAAGTGTTCAAGAGCGTTTTTGCAACAAGTGGGGCGAAGTGCACACGCGCGCGTCGTCGCGCGCGCATGGCGGAATCCTTCGACAACCGTCGGTTTCGTAGGGCTTTCAAAGCCGAGTAGCAACATACACACACACACATATATATATATATATATGTATATATATGGGCTTCACAAAACGGATTACCACGATACAAATTGCGTGCGCGCTCTCGTGAATTCTAACGAAAAACACTGGGTTTTCAACATTTGCAGAAAATGCTACCAAACGGGTTTCGCGCGCACGCGTGTTGAAATCGTTCGAAAGCCCTTGCGCGCGTGCTGAGGTGGCACGGTCCGTGTCAAATAATACCATGCGGCCCACTCTCGGGCGTCTGCCGCGCGCGCATTTCGCACTCTTTCCAAAACCTTCCTCACCGACGCAAAGACGCCGTCATCGTCGTCGGCGTGATCAGCATCGGCACCGTCACTGGCTGCCCCGTCGTCGCTGTCAGCATCGCCACCAGCATCGCTACAATCATCATCGTGTCTAGCGTTGTCGACGTTGCCACGATACCGCGCCCGCCCAAGTCGCGACTCGCACTGCTGGGATGCGCCGAGCGGCCAACGCCACCGCGATCGCGTCGGTCGCGCCAAACTAGCTGGCCGCTGCGCGCGCAAGCATGCGCACGCGGGCGCGGCCACAAAGATGTACCAGCCAACACCAGCCACTCATCACAATCGCTTCCGCATAGATTTTGCAAACCAAATTGCCGGTGAGTGGGTGGGTGGGATGATTGCGCGAGCAGTGGGTTTGACAACTCGAAATTCGGCACGTGAATTCTCCTTTGTAAAGACAAACTAGTATCTCCCCCCCTTCCCCCCCCGGCGTTATCGCCCCCCCCTTTTTCGGGTATGTAAATCACAAATGATGCTGACCACATGTCCATCCGATAAATGAATTTACACTATCCCCGGGGGGGCGGTATCCCCCCCCCCTGAGGGTCCCCTTGAAAAAAATCTATGCGGTAACATGTGTGTTCTAACATCGCACTTTTTCACGAATCCCTTGCAACAAATGGAACGAAGTGCACACGCGCGCGTCGTCGCGCGCGCATGCCGAAATCCTTCAAAAACCTTCGGTGCCCGAGCAATTTCGCAATCGGGTCTCAAAAAAACATACAAAAACACAGGGTTTCGCAACACTGATTTGCTAAAAAACTGCCGCGCGAGCTCTTGCGAAATCTTAAGAAAACCTTCGGTTTTTCAAAATGTTCACAAAATGCTACCAATCGAGCTTCGCGCGCGCGCATGTCGAAATCTGTCGAACGCCCTTGCGCGTGTGCCGTCGCGAGAATCCTCTGCAACAAAGGGGACGAAGTGCAGACGCGCGCGTCGTCGCGCGCGTATGCCGAAATCCTTCAAAACCCATCGGTTTCGGAAGGATTTCAAAATCGCGTGTCCAAAAAACCTACAAAAACCTAAGGTTTCGCAACACGGATTTTCAACAAAAGCGTGCGCGCGCGCTCTTGCGTCGTCGTCGTCGTCGTCGTCGTCGTCGCCGCCCTCCCTCCTCCCGCGTCGTCGTCGTCGTCGCCTACGTCGTCCTCTGTCTTTCCTCGTGTTCGTCGTCATCGTCCTCTTTGGCGTCGTGGTCGTTTCCGTCGTCGTTGTCGCCGTGGTCGTCCTTCCTCCTCCTCCCTCGTCGTCGTCGTCGTCGTCGTCGGCGTCTCGTCGTCGTCCCTCCTATTTCGTCGCCGTCGTCGTCGTCGTTGTCGCCGTCGTCTTCCCTCCTCCCTCGTCGTTGTCGTCGTCGGCGTCGCCGTCCTTCCTCCTTCTTCGTCGTTCGCGTCGTCGCCATCCTCCCTCCTCCCTCGTCGTTGTCGTCGTTGTCGTTGTTGTCGCCGTGGTCGTCCTTCCTCCTCCTCCCTCGTCGTCGCCTTCGTTGGCGTCGTCGTCGTCGTCTTCGTCATCGTCGGCGCCGTTGTCGTCGCCGAAGTCGTCGGAGACGTCGTCGGTGTCGTCGTAGTCGTTGTCGTCGGTCTTAAGAGGTTTTGCAAACCAAGTTGCGGGCAGGTGGGTGGGATGTTTGCGCGAGCAGTGGAGATGACGACTTCAAGTTCAGCAGAGTGGATTGCACCACGTAGAATTCACCTCATAGAATCAGCAGCATGTAGTGTAGAACATGTATTACACATCATGGGTTGCACTCCATGGGTTGCACGCTTGCCCCACGTCGGTTGAACAAACTAGGATTGCTAGAAACATCGTGTTTTAGGGCCGCGCCTGCCAACATGCAAGTGTTTCGCTGTTCGACGTTTGGCCACCATGCCACCAAAAGGATACTGGTACTGCCCGTGTCGAAGCACACGCCGGCGCGATAGAGGAGAAGGAGAAGGAAGAGGAGGAAGAGGAGGAAGGGAAGGAGGAGGAGGAGGAGGAAGAGGAGGAGGAGGAAGAGGAGGAGGAGGAAGAGGAGGCGAGTGCCGAAGCACATGCAAAGCCGCTAGGCGGACGAATCCCGTGCCCATGTTGCCCGAAAAGACGCCCTCGCCAAGCGCGTTCTGGGACACCTCCCTTGTGTTGGGATGGCAGGAGGACCCCGAAGTCCCACGAGCCCCCACCCCAGCTGATTCGGCTGCAGCCAGGCGAGACCACCAAGACGCGCAGATCGCCCAGCTCGTGGACGCCTGCCAGGCCACCTCACACGCAGTGGAGCCCCGGCGGGGCTCGTCCTTTGGTACTGGGTGCCCGACGGCACTTACCCGCCAGCAGACATCGAGAGACTGGTTTGCTCAGCCGTGCCGCAGCTCCCCCCACCAGATCCACCCGTCCCACCGAATTCGGTGCCTGCGCGGGCTTCGGTGGTGGTTTAGGTCGGGCATGTCCTCCTACAGGCTGATGTCGGAGGAAAAATAGACAATAGTGAACACACAATCAAAAATGCCCCAAAACAGTCGAAAAACAGTACCAAGACTATCTCTGATTATTTTTGAATATTCCTCCTGTAGGGGGACACGCCCGACTTAATGGAAGGTGTGTGGCGGTTCGGGCACCGTCGCCTCAGCCTTCTACGGGAGAGCATACGAGCGACCCACGGCCGCAGGCAAGAGGGCCCTGGACAGTGGCCTGCGAGAGGGCCCCTCCCTCCGAAAAAGGAAGCCTGGCCAGACGAGACGAGTCGGAGGAGGCAGCTGGGTAGCAGCCCCTGGCTTTTCCCACAGGGCCCCAGCATCGGAGCTAGGCCCGCCCGCGTGCGCGCGTTTCCCAGCAGTCTGGGGCCACAAACTCTTGTCGCATCCTCGGTAGGCATTGCCTGTCCCATCGCCGCAGCACCTGCGTGGAATCCGCGTCGAATCCTCACAGGACGTAAGAAAAGACCATCAGCTTGCAGGACGGACGGGTTTCCCCGGACGCAACGTGAGCCAAGGAGCCCCCTAGTCGCACCAGGGGGCCTTCCACCGCAGGAAGATGCTTGTCCTCGAGCGGCTGTGAGCAAGATCTGTTCGGCGCCCCGCCCCCGACATCGGCCCCTCCTGCTGGGAACGAGCAGAGACGGCGCCACCGCCACCGGAGGCAAGAGCCAAGCAGAGTCCGCCTGGTGACGTGGTCCCCCAGCTCGGCCGCGTCCCGCTCGAGACATCGTCAGCCCTGTCAGTCCTTCGACCTGGGAGGGCATCGTGACCATCCTCGCCGGCGGTGGTCCGCCAGTGGTGGCTGGGTGCCGCTCCGCTGCAGGAGGAGGAGGAGGAGGAGGAGGAGCGCACGTGACCTGAGGCGGTTCGTGGTGACCTGGGCACTAGATGCGCATGGCAGCGAGTGCGGCGGCTCGGATTTCGTAGTGGTATGGCGGCGTCGGGGGCCGACGGCGCAATGAGAGGTCAGCTTTCAGTTTGTGATAGATGTGAAAGCTTGCAGGAGGAGGAGGAGGAGGAGGAGGAGGAGGAGGAGGAGGAGTAGGAGGAGGTCGCCGGCGGTGGTCCGCCAGTGGCGGCCAGGTGCCGCGCCGCCGCAGCAGGCACGAGAGGGGGGCGGCTCTGGCCACGGCGAGCCTCGGCCACGGGCAGGCTCCTCCGGAGATCGTGTGCTGCTCCTCCTCCTCCTCCTCCTCCTCCTCCTCCTCCTCCTCCCTCCTCCCTCCCTCCGTCCTCCTCTCCCCTCCCTCTCCCTCCTCCTCCTCCCTCCTCCCTCCTCCCTCCTCCCTCCTCCTCCTCCTCCTCCGCCCCAGATGCCAGCCACGCCTGGGTGGGTTGGGGTGCAGTCGGGGCGCCGACCTGAGGAGCCCCAGACAAGGACCGAGGCCCCTTGCCTCCAGAAGCTGCACTTCGACTTCCCCTCGAGACCCTGAGGACAACCACAGGCAAACTGTGAAACAGTCAAGGAACACGGAGCCCCTCCCACAGGCCCTGCTGAGCCCTGGCGTGGCCCCCGGCCTCAGCGCCGAGACGCCGCCCCCCGGCGGCGCGCCGGGGGGTGCGCCAGGGGGGCCCGCTCCGAGGAGGCAGCGGGGGCGGAGGGGGCGCGGCCTCCTCGGGAGACACGGTGCCGGCCACACCCGCAGGCCCCACCCCCTTCTCCTGTCCTCCTCCCTCCTCCTCTTTCTCCTCTTCCTTCTCCCTCCTCCTCTTCCTCCTCCTCCTCCTCCCTCCTCCTCCGCCTTCTCCTCTTCCTCCTCCTCCTCCTCCTCCTCCTCCTCCTCCTCCTCCTCCTCTGAACAGTGATGTTGGGAACCAAGGTGTAGAACATCACAGCCACACCTCCCTGCACTTCCCATCCGCGAAGGGCTGGAGCGAACACGACACGGCGAATTGCAGGAAAGCGCGAGCCACGCGCTCCCACCATACCGAACCCCACATCGCCGTTGCCTACATCGCCGTTGGCCCGTCTGCGGGGAAAGGGGGAATCGGCCCCACGTGGCTACCAAACCTGAGCCAGCCAGAGGGGAATGGCTGAAGCCCGCTAGCGGCTGCTGGCGCCTGCCCCAGGCGGCGTGAGCCCCGAGGCCTCTGCTCAGAGGGCCGGCAACGCGCTGCGCCTCCCGCGGCGCCGCGCCGGTGCCTCGGAGCCCTGCCCCCCTCGGAATCGCGAGCGCTCGGCCAACCGGCTGCGGCAAGCTCAGGCCGGGCATGTCCTCAGACCGACGGACTTGGGAAGAAACGATTAGAGATAGTCAAGGCATGCTCAAAGAAACACGAACAATCGCCACTGGACTACTTTCCCCCATTCTTGAACCTTCCTCCCGTAGAGGGACATGCCCGACTCAACGGCAGGCGCCTTCGCTGTTCGCGCCTCTGCGGCGGGAGGCCGCGGGCACTGGCGTGAGTGCAAGCACGTCGGGGAGCAAGAGCGAAACGTCGCGCAAGCAAGAGCGAAACGTCGCGCACACCGGCTGAGTAAGAGCTCACGTGCACAAACTTGAGCGTGGACCGACCGTCCCGGCATTCCTATAGGCCTACCACGAAATCTTCTGATCACCCCAAAATGTTCTAATGACAAAAACAAGGTTCTTGGAACATAAGCCCGATGCTTTAATGCAAAGCAACCCCAGCCAGGAATGTTCTAAGAACATTTCGTGCAGACCACAAAAGCTTCTGAGAACATTCCTTTGTGGGCCTATAGGCGAGCCAGGACGCTTCGCCACTGCTTGACAGACTCACCCGCTGTTGCACCTCACAAGTTCACTCGCTCGCGCGCCCGGAAGCGCCTCGGAGCCTGGCCTGGCCAGCAGCGCCCCGCCGACGCGCCAGGACTGACTAGACTTCTAAGGCTCCACCTGTGCCGAAAGTTGCCCATAACACACTGATCGTGTCGCGGCTGAGGCTGCTCGCACGCTGATGCGTAACGGATTCGCAGAAGGCATCTATACACCACCACACCACCACCGTGCCAAGGCAGGGCCATCCTGGGCCCCAGGATGGTGTATACGCCCTCCTGGCCGAGGCCAAGAGGGTCCATACACCATCCTGGGGCCCAGGATGGCCCTGGCCTGGCACGGTGGTGGTGTGTAGATGCCTTCGTCGGAACGGAGACAGTACATGCGCTTCGACAACTCAGAAAGACCCCTGAATAAGCGACAGGCGCTGAACACATGTCTCCGATGGCATGGCCGCCTCCTCGTGGTCATCTTCTCCTACCAGCGGCACGCCAGCGCGACCCTGGGCAAGAGTGGCCTCTGGTGCGCGGCTTGCCGATTGCTGCATGCGATGCGACGGCAGGGCCCCCCCCCCCGGCTGCCCCCCCCTCTCGAAAGCCGCGCACCAAGGGTCACTCCGGCGAAGGGTCACTCTTGCGTGTTGCCTATCCTAGCAGCCCTCCGACGGCAAACCCCGCACGCTTAAGATGCTTGACGTACAAGTTCAGGTACCGGGTGCCCTCCTGTGTGCGCCCATGTGCAACTTTCAATTCTACCTTCCCGAACTTGACCCAATCCGAGCTGATGTCGTCCACATCCTGGGCCTTGAAACGCAGACCGCCGGCTTGCTTCTGCTCTGTCGTCACCCAGGCCCCTGTGATATTCAGATCCTGGAAGTAGATATCGGTGCATGATCCACCCATTCGGCTTGCCTCAGCATCTACACGAAGCATCGTGTTCTCGACAAGCTCCCCCCTTGGAATCTGAATCAAGACGTGCTTACCTGGCTGCAACAGATCGAACCGCTCACCGTGGATGTTCTGCAAGTGCGGATCGCCCACGGCAGCCACGGATCCGACCGCGCCCGCACTCGTTACCACTGAGCCTGCGGCGCTCGATGCCATGGGTGAGGGTACAATCGGACCGGCAGTTGGCGCTGTCGTTGGGTAGGCGGTCGGAGTCGCCGTCGGGCTGGCAGTCGGCGACGCCGTTGGACTGGCAGTCGGCATTGCCGTCGGACTGGCAGTTGGCGCTGCCGTCGGACTGGCAGTTGGCGCTGCCGTCGGGCTGGCAGTCGGGGTCGCCGTCGGGGTGGCGGTCGGTGCTATCGTCGGACTCGCAGTGGGCGTCGCCGTCGGGCTGGCAGTCGGTGCTGCAGTGGGTACTGCAGTAGGCGTCGCCGTCGGGCTGCCAGTCGGCGTTGCCGTCGGTGGTGCCACTGGAGCTATGCCGCCGGCGATGCCGACCGCGGCTCCCCATGGTGGAGGTGCCACCGGGCCGGCGGTCGGCACTGCCGTCGGACGTGGGCTCGGCGCTTGCGTCGGGCTGGCAGTCGGGCTCATAGTCGGTGCCGTCGGACCTGGCGTCGGAGGGAGAGTCATCCATTTGGGAAGTGGGATAGTAATCCAACTTGGGTCCCCGTTTGGGTACCTCCAGATGTGGTCGGCGAAGCACTCACCAAGCATCGATGTGCTTGAGCCAGGAGCCCGAAATGTGACCCCGTCGGCGTTGGGGTACATCCGCATAACCGCGAACAAACACTCTTCGCACGTATCGATTTGTCCCACATACGTGAAGCTTCCGCCATTGCCGTCTCCCTGAGCCCAATTCGAGCACGTGCAATCCAATGGCCATGGGTTCGGTCCAGTCATCAGACACGTCGGACTCGGCGTCGGACTCGGTTGGTCAATCTGGGCAACCTGCGTCCGCTCGGGCTCACCGCTAGAGTTGGCTCCCTCTAGCCATTGGTTGAACCCCTGTAAGACTGTGGGCCACCTCGATCCGATTGGGCCGTCAGCGCCTAGCTGCACAGCTTGGGCGTCACCGAGCAGCAAAAGTGATACCGCGAGATATCTCAAGCATGGCATCCCGAGAGGGTGGAGGCGACACGTGACGCAAATGAATAGATAGGTAATTTATATAAAGGACGAGTCAGTTCAAACCTCTATCCGCGGTGGCCCTTGAGCCAGACCAACATGGCTACGGTGTGAAAGCTGACCCTTGGCAGACACGTCCTGCAAGCAACCACTCGGGCCTTCCGTCTCCAGGCGCTTCGACTCGTTCCGCATGGAATGCTGCAAGACATGCAAAGCGCCGATCCGCTCTCTGGGGCCGAGCGGGAGCCTCCATCTGTGCAGCAGGTGCCGAGCATGCCGGCCGGGCTGGCCGTGGCAGCCGCCGTGGGCTGGGCACTCCTCGCAGATCTTGTCCTGAGCGACTGGCGGGCCGTCGTCGCCACTGCCACCGTGAGCAGCCCAAGGGCCCCCTAATCAGATAAACCGCGACTCCGCTGAACGAGGGCGTCCAGGTTCAGACAGGTCCATTCGCAGACATGGCGCGGCCCGCCTGGCGCACTGGGCGTCGGGGCACCTCGGACCTGGACATTTCTCATCGCACTTCTTCTCTAAACAGCCTGCGCAGGGGTGCGCCAGCATCAGTGGCTCGGAGGGGTGTCTCGAGCCGCGGCCGACAGAACCATCGGAATCAGTCCACACTGGGCATGCCGCACTCGAAATGCGGCTCGGGGCAATCACTTGGTGGTCTTCACGGCGCTCTCTGCTGGTTCCCATTGGCCAATGGTGCGCTCGAAAATGATTCACGGTGGGGTGCATGACACGATGCTCGCGGTTGTGCGTGAATAAAAAACGCATGCCACTTGGGGGCTGTTCACGGTGACTGAGCTTCAAAGTGCCTCGCCAGATCAGCAACATACCCCATGTGTCGAATGTGCTCAGCAAGATTTGGGGCCCACTGCAAGTACTCGACTTCCAGGAAGATGCGCGCAAGTGCTCACTCCCGAGAGCCCGCAGGAGCAGTGTGAGAGCCCCGCCCCGGAGCTTAGCTCGGCCCTGTTCGCAGAGGCGCGAACCTTGGCACAGACTAGGCGCCTCCTACGAATGCCGTCTCCACGGGCCACGCAGCAGAGACGCACCGCAAGGGTCACTTATGTAAGGGACTCGCGGGGGGGGGGCACCTCCCGTCGATCCACATCGGGCCCCTACGAGTCGCAGGCCCTTTGTGGCCCCCAGGGGCCATGGAGCGATAAGCAGCTTCTGCGGGGGAAGGCCTCGCGAAAAATCGACCTGCTGGGAAGAGGTCCCGCTCGCACAGACGCGCCGTGACAGGCGTGAGGCAACCATGCCATTCTGGTTACAAGCAACATGAGCAATACGGGTGGGGGAATCCTACCAGCCCTCTAGGGCGTAGGCGGGCTAGAGCGCGTCTTTTTTCAAACCCCCTCCTTCCCTTCGGGGATGAGTTCACCCCTCCCCAGCCACCTGCCCCTGGGTCAGGAGGGGGAGGGGCTGCGAGCAGTAATGGTGGCCAAGGTGGCTCCAATATGGCCCAGAAGAGCGAGAGATGAACTCCACGATTGCATGAGATAATCGGATATGCCTCAACATGGCTCCAGACATGCTCCAAGGGGCTCCAAGATCCTCCTCAGACGTTTCCGAATGGCAGCGGAGCCCCCCAAGGACACTCCCATGGGCCAACCGACTTTAGAACCTAAGGGATTACGCGTGCATTCTCGCATGGTCGCTTCCGCTGATCTTCCGAGGCCTCAAGATGGCCCCAAGATGCCAAGACGGCCCAAAGAGCGCCTAAGAGCGCCAGAAGAGCGCCTCAAGAGGCGATTGTTGGGGTTACAGACGGGCAGCGCCAAGTAGGCCCCCCCCTTCGTTGATCGATGCACGTCCCGATTGCCCCAAGAGGGCACTCAAGGCCCCAATGAGAGCGACAAGAGGGCCCCAACAAGGCCCAGACTTAGCCTGGCGCATGACCCAACCATATGCGGCTGCGGGCACCGAAAGACAGGAGGAAACTGAGGGGGGGGCGGCTAGCAAAACGACTGAGGCATGCGTGGGAAGGACGGAGCGACGTTGCTGGAGTCGCAGAGGTCGGCCGTCATCTGGATGTACGTAGCCCGCTACGGCTGATCTGCGAAAAGTGCCGAGATGGGCGCGGCCACGCAAGCGAATCCTGCCACCGAGGTCTTCGATGGAGCTCCCTGGGAGGCCACGGGCCGAGTGAGCGGTGGGCCGAGGTCCGCCCGCGGGCACGGGTGCGGTTCCTGCTGCTGGAGAGCCTGCGGTGACGCCTCCGAGGGGGCCACGAAGCGTGTGAAGGGGAGGGGGCGGGCACCTCCCTCCTCCTTTCTCCGCTCCTTCCTCTTCCCTCCCTCCTTCCACCCTCCTCATTCCTTGTTCCTCCCTCCCTCCTGCTCCCTCCTCCCTCCTCAGGTAGCTGCCCCGCTCCTCAGGTTGTCTCGTGGCCGAGCGCGGTCACGCATGCGGTTCCTGCCACTGGGGCGTTCGGCAACCCCCCCCCCCATGGGGCTACGAAGCGCGCAAGGGGGTGCGCCGCCATGGTGTGAAGGAGGCATACTGACGCAGCCACTGGGGTCGTCGGAGGAGCTCCGCATGGGGCCACGGAACGTGCGAGGGGCACGTGAACATGGAGTTGACCAGGTATACGAACGCAGCCGCTGGGACCTAAGGTGCAGCTGCGCCGACATGGACGTGCGGAGGGCAGCGGAAGGGAGGAGCAGGAAGAGGAAATAAGTGAGGAAGGAAGGCAGGAAAGAAGGCAGGGACTGTCTCTTCAAAACGAGGACCCAGCATCACAAGATGGTTGACACAAAAAGAACCATTCCACATAGCCCCGACCGCGTCCAAAGATAGCCTAAGTAAGCTGCCTAGAGGCTCCAAGATCGAAAGATCCGAGAAGGCATATATAATTGACTCTTCGACCCGCTGCGCAAGCAAATCCCAGTCTTCGGTTGAAGGCTCCCCCCCGCTTTGCTTTACTGCGTGCTCCCGCGCTTCCCTCATCAATACAATTTGCCTGGACGTCGTTGCTGGAAGGACTGGTGGGGACACGCGGGGCGTCAAGTGATGCCAGGAACCCAGATAGTGCAAAATCAGGACTACCTTTGGACCGGGGAAAACATGACAACTAGACCAAGAACCAGCGGATGTAAGGGCCCCTTGTTTCAAAGGCTCCTCCTTCAGGTCCGTTTTGTCTGCACCAGGAGGGCAAGTTGGATCTCCTGAGCACCGTCGTTTTCTTGTTCCTCTTCCTCCTCGTCCTCCTCCGAGGGAAAGGCCAAGGGAACAGCATCAGGAGCAGGTGCGGGATGCCGATGGGGGAGGGGCGCGCCCTGTCTCGCGCGAGGCACGAGTGCTGGGAGCGGGTGTCGGAGGGAATGAGGGCCAGGGAAGCGGCCGGGCGGGCCGCGGCTTGGGGGGGGGCACGGGCTCGCCCCTCCCTCGGCCTGCGCAAGCGGGGGGGCGGCCCGGGAGGGGGCGGGCGGGGAGGCGGAGAGGAGCAGGGGGGGATGCAGGCAGCATGATACGAGCAAGCGTGCATGCTGGGGGTACAGAAGTGTGCCGCATGCTGCATGATACGGCATGTGGCGCACTAGGTAGGACCGACGGGTCGGAATCATGTAAACATGACTGGTCGAAGGAGACAAGGGAACATGTGATCGATATGGCACACGCGACAGCTTCTGGCATCGAGCAGCATCAGCAGAGTACTCACAGAACTCGAAGTCTGGACAATTCCTCTTCCTACTTTCCTTCTGCGTTTTGTTGTTCCTTGCTCATTGCCCACGGCACATGCTTGTTCCCTCCTCCTTCCCTGCACCCGTTTAGCCGCGACGGGTCTTTCCGACCCCCCTTCGTATATGAATATATACATACACAAATAGAAACAGAATTGCATATACACATACCCAGTGGCTCATTCAAGGTTGCCGACATACAACAGCAATCGGGAAATCGTTATTCCGCTGCCGCAGCCGCCGCCGACGTCGTTTTCGATGCCGTCGACGTCGTGTTACGTCTCCTACTCCGAATCCCATTCCTCCGACTGCTACTCCTACCACCACTACTGCTACTACAACTGCTACTACAACAACAACAACTACGACTATTACTACTACTACTACTACTACGACTTCTTCTTCTACTTCTACTACTACTACTACTACTACTACTACTACTACGGCTACTACGACCACTACTACTACTACTACTACTACTTCTACTACTACTACTACTACTACTACTACTACTACTACTACTACGACTGCTGCTACTACTACTACTACTACTTCTACTACTACTACCACGACTACTACTAACACTACTGCTACTACTACTACTACTACTGCTACTACTACTACTACTACTACTACTACCACTACTACTACTACTACTACTACGACTGCTGCTACTACTACTACTACTTCTACTACTACTACTACTACCACGACTACTACTAACACTACTGCTACTACTACTACTACTACTACTACTACTACTACTACCAGTACTACTGCTACTACTACTACTACCACTACTACTACCCCTACGACTACTACTACTATTATTATTATTACTACTACTACTACTATACACTACCTACTACTACTACTAAACTACTACTACTACTACTACTACTTACTACTACTAACTACTACTTCTTCTTCTATACTACTACTACTGCTACTACTACGACTACTACCACTACTACTAGTACTACTACTACGACGACTACTACTTCTAGTACTACTACTACCACTACTACTACTTCTGCTACTACTACTACTACTACTACTTACTACTACTACTACTACTACGACTACTACTACTACTACTACTACTACTACTACTACTACTAGTACTACTACTACTACTACTACTACTACTACTACTACTACTACTACTACTACTACTACTACTACTACTACTACTACTACTACTACTACTACTACTACACTGACTATTACTTCTACGACAAATACTACCGACTACTCCTGCTACTACTACTGCTACTACTACTTACTACTACTACTACTCCTACTACTACCACTACTACTAGTACTATACTAACTACACTACTACTACTACTACTACTACGGACTACTACTACTACTACACTACTACTACTACTACTACTAAACCTACGACAACTA